CCGATGGCCCTCATCCGCGAGGAGTTTCAACAGGCATCCGGGAGTATTGTTTCAATGACTAACATCCGTAAGGAAGCACATCTGCTTGGTTTTCATGGTCGTGCTGTTGCCCATAAGCCTTTGATCACAAAGTCTTTGACCACATAACTGCTCGGTTAATGTGGTGCAAAGCACATCGAAATTGGACCGTAGATCAGTGGAAACGGGTTCTTTGGAGTGACGAATCAAGGTTCACCCTTTACCGTTCGGATGGTAGGGTCTGGGTCTGGCGTCTACCTGGAGAACGTCTCCTGCCAGAATGCATTGTGCCAACAGTCAAGTTCCGCGAAGGTGGAATTATGGTCTGGGGGGTGTTTCTCGTGGTGGATGACAATGTGCTTCCTACGTTGTGGCAGTTTTAAGGGTTGGATCCCTGTTACTTTCAAGACGACAATGCCAGTTGTCATGTTTCGACGTTAACCAAGGCTTGGTTGGTGCCAATGGAGCTCATCTAATGGACTGGCCTGTCCAGAGTCCAAACCTGAACCCTATCGAGAACCTCTGAGACGAGTTGCATCGCCGAATTCAGGGGAGCACAACCCGTGCAAAATCGGTGAAGGAACTTCTATGTCTTCTCCAAGCCGAGTGGAAGAAAATACCACTAGCTGTCATACAAAGACTTGTGGAAAATATGCCCCGGAGGGTCCACGCTGTTATTACCTCTCGTGGAGGCTTTACCAACTATTGATTTTAAATAAAGTTAGTTTTTCTTTTCTATCACAGGTGTCCAAATACTTATTGGTAGTCAGTGTATACTGACATCCTCACATTAGATTAAGATTTTGTTAAAGCTAATAATTACAATTGTTATATTGCACATATAGCAAAATGTGCTACGCGAAATTTTAATGTGAACACAAAAAATATTGTCCTAAAAATTGTCCATTTTTCTATGTCAACAAAGAGACGTGAAACACTTAAGCATTTCGTTTATTCGTAGAAACAGAGCTGCAAAATTTTTAGGTATGTGCCTATTAGGTGATTTTCTTTGAACTTATGTATTGAAAGAATTTTAATTTCGTAGAAAGTCTAAAGTTCTTATTTCTTAAGCAGACCAAATGATTTCTCTAAACTAGAGCTTCTCAACCTTTCTTGTCCTAAGAACACATCATGGAACATCTGTCGGACTGCGGGCTACATTTTCAAGGTGAATTTATAGCTCGACAGGGTTAATAATGCATACACATAGAAAAGAGATCGGTCGTATTTCACTGTGTGCTGTATCTGTGTTGAACTCAAATTCTATTTCATTAAAAATGAGGAAACTTTCACATAGAATTTTATAGAAAACTAAAACATTTTTATTGTGATCGCACAGCGGCGGGCACTCGTTAAAAAATCCGAGAACCCCTGCTCTAAACAGTTATTCAAACTGCTTTTTAACTGATGATGAAATTATACCGATTATTTAAATATATATATATATATTATTCTCGCAACATGGCGGTATTCAGATTAGTTGTTGAAGAACTAGAAAAGAATGAAACTACTGGTGCAGATGTTTTCAATTTCAAGTTCATCAAAATTTGAGAAACGTATGTACGGGGGTTGTAAATTAAATAGTGGCAACTTAACCTTGAAACTCGCAGAGGGGCGGGCATGCGCAAATAGGATATGGGAGCGGTGAGGTGGCGCTGGTGTCGATGTGTAGAGTGCAAAAAAAACATTCGATCTGCTTAGAAAGGTAGTTGTTGTGTGGCGTTAAAGTGAGGAGTATCGTTTCCATCGCTCTAAAGCATGTTTTCAAAAGGTAATCAGAGCTCGTGGCTTAAAATCGAGATTGCCCATGACAAAAATGCAACAGAATGCTATCGAGGATTAGTGGAAGCCTGTGGCACTAATGCTTTATCGTATAGGACAGTAGCACGATGGGATAGCATTTCGTTCGAGTCGGAATGAGACTGCAGATTTGCAACGCACAAGTCGGCCCTCCATTCCTCAAAAGCAGATTGTCATCCTGAGCTGTCTCCTTACCATAGACCGCCGATGGACTTTCCGAAAATTATCCTTAGAGGTTGGTCTGAGTCATCAAACGGTGTGGCGCATAAGGAAGAAATCTCTCAACATGAGGAAAATTGCTTTCCGCTGGGTTCCACATTGACTAACCGAAGTACAGAAATGGCACTAGTATTCACTGGCTGGCACCCACTTGGAGAGATACCGTAAGGAAGGATACGCATTTCTCGCCATTGATGAGACATGGGACGAGCCTATGAGCCTGAATTAAAGCGTCAGTCAAATGAATGGCGTCACCAAGGTTCGCCACGTCCACAGAAATTTCGACAGGAATCCAGTCGGGTGAAGGTTATGCTGATTATGGCATACGACTTAGACGGTGTGATTCTTACACATGCTGTACCTGAAGGACAAACAGTTAACGCAGATTACTATTGCCGATTTCTACAGCACCATCTGCGTCCGGCTATGCGGCGCAAATGTCCAGCTCGTTGGTCGCAAACAATGTCACTCTCTTTTTGCGACGGTAGCAGTGGGAAATCCTGGAACACCCTCCCTATTCACCCGACATGAGTCCTTGTGACTTCGATCTGTTTCCGAAGTTGAGGGAACCCCTCTGAGATCACCGATTTCATGACGTTTCATCTGTACTCCCCGCAGTAGAGTGGTCGGTCGCTCACATCAACAATCAACACCTTGCCACTGGTCTACAACAGCTTCCCGACACTTGGCAAAAGGTTATAAGCTTTGCTGGTGATTACATAGAAGGAATGTAATGCAATTGTTCATTAAAAACTGATTTATACCTATGTTGCCATTACTTAATTTATAGCCCTCGTAATTCAAAATCTATAAAGATTGCAATGAATTATTATTTTTTCTTTCATCAATCACTTACTTAGAATACTTTGAAGAAAATTTCACATTCGGTAAACTGTCAATTTTAAGTCTGTTAAATAATTAATTTCTAACATACCAGAAATTTATTGAAAATTCGAAGCTTAAAAAAAAAAAAAAAAAAAAACTGGATTTTGAATATGGAGGATAACTTTTTTCATGAAAGAAATTTAATCTCCTCCTCCCCACCCAGAAAAAAATCTGAAAGCTTTCCGATTTTATATTACGCCCAAAGGGGCGTTTTTTTCAGTTACGCATACATACTCGTTTCGAGAGCAGTTGGGCTAAAAATATTTAAAAATATGATACCTTTAAAATTTCCGATAAACAGTCTCGCGCTAGAGATAAAAATATTTTATTCGTATAGTGTGTTGCCGCTGCTCGTTTCGAAACCATTGAGTTTCTTAATCAAAAATTCGTTAACGTTTAAGAAATATGAAATAGATAATTAAACAAATTCGAAATTCAAGATTCAGGCTTCCAGGTGTTCATATTCGGGTGGAGGATTACGTTATTCACAATTTGATGGCTCTAAGTATCGTTATTTATTCACAATGCATATAAATATGCATACGTTCACGCAGATTCGTCATGATTTAATTTCTTAAATATAATACAGGGTGATAATATTTGGTGGCAACAATTTGAAAAGTGATACAGCGGCTTATAGTGATTTGAGATAAAATGCCTTTTCTAGACTAATAGCTCTTCTGAGCTAACGCCTCTTTGGACTTAAAGAAACTTTGACTATATTCAAAATTCTGAACATTTTACAGAATCTAAAGTAAGAAGTGGTAAATCGCACAAGATTTAAAAAAATGCTTAGAAATATATGAATATTTAAGAACAGTTTTTTATATGTATGCAGTTTCTGTAGCATCAGCATACTGTAAGAGAATTCTTAGTATCATGTCAACCAAATGGAGAAATGAACGAAATGCGTGTTGAACTTATAAAAAAAATTAATTATTTATATATTTGAATTTGAAAGAAAATTTGCTGAAAAAATAAAATGTGATGCACATTTTCTGAAGTCTGTATATATATAATTTTAAATATTAGAAGTTTATTTTAGCCTTAGTTTTAAAAGCTTCAAATATTTTTTTAAAGTTTTGCTACATTTTTTGATAATTTAAAAAAAAAAAATTTAATGATTATTCTAAGAATGCATCTTTTGTGTTAAATGAATCGATATATTATAACCTAAATTACTAAACCTCTTCGGATTGTTTTCGAAGTTTTAAACAAACGATTCTCCACATGTGCATTAATTCTAAAATTTATTATATTCCAATGATTTACAATAATAATAAGAAGGAATTAATGGAAATATGGGTATTTTGCATGCTTTATTGCAACTCGACATAGTTGGCGACCCTAGTTCAGACCCAGCGAACGAGTTAACTACTTCGTTAGTTTTCTCCACGTTTAATGAAAATATTAATTTTTAGGCATACATGTGTGTGTTTTTTTAATTTCAACTTGCATTTTTTATAGACATTAATGGTTTTTTTTTAACATTAGATTAAACTCTAGTAATTCATTTTGAAATATTTTTTACAAATTGATTTTATTATTTTATAAAATATACAATATGTGGTTATATAAAATAGATAAAAGTGAAAATTTCTATCTGTTAATGTTTTATAAGTTAAACTTTCTGATCGAAAGTGCCCTAGGGTGTAACTTTACCGTTCCCATCCTGAAAGATAATAGGAATATTTTATTGTGACTCAGTACTACCTCTTTAGAAGGAAATCAGGAAGATCAATATTTGCGAATACTTGGAATGTCGCTTGCGTTATTATGTATCTAATTCCGGACACCCCCGTTACGGCCCCTTCTTGCCATTCCCTCCCACCACATCCCGGACGCGAACTCAGTTAAAGATAAGCCCTTTTTTATTTTGAAAAAGAGATAAAAAGTTCTTTCATTCGCCTTCCTCCCCTTTCGTTGAATTCCATGCACAGAAAATTCTTTTGAGTCGCGATGTGACCTTTCGACCCGCACCGCTGTCACAGGATAGGGTCGTTTTCGTCAACAATCTGCCACTTGATAAGCTAAGAAGTACGTCGAGGAGTGGAGGCGGGGATTATTGTAAGAAAGAAATCAACTCGAGGCTCATTATGGAGTGTTATTTAAGGTTCTTTTCCAGCTAGAATTGCACGATCTGGAGCCAATGGGAATTAACTTGTCTTTTGGACGTCATGCTTTGAATCATCAATTAAAGATGCGGCAGAAGAAAACATGGATGTGGTAGTCATTCCTTTGAAAGTCAACAAGATAATCAATTCATTCTCAGAAACTGCGTCAAAAGAGAGCGGCAGCAAAGAGAAACAGCATTCATTAAGCCAGGATACACTCAGAAGTCCAGACGTGACAGCTAAATTTCATTTTGCTGAGGGACTGGAATTACTGAGTGTTTATATATTTGCGTTAAGAGCAATCGCATGAAACTCGAAGCTATAAAATTAAATCTGTAGAACGGTTTAGGAATTTTATTATTAGCATTTTCGCGATCAAGGAAGAAAATGGAACTTTTTTCTCTCTTTTTATATTTCACTCTAAGTGGAATACTAAACGTCGTTTCTTGCAACAGAGAACGTAAAATTGCCGAAATTTTAGACGGTGTTAAAAGAATCGAAGAACATCTCAAAGAAGAGAAAATAAGAGAAATGTCAAATTTTCTAAAACTGGAAACTACTTTTGAAAAACTGAACTCCAAAGTCGAACGAGCTTTGAATATCATGGAAAACTCAGCTTCACCTATTCCTCGCAGTAGGGGATCAACAGATATTGTTCCTGGCGGTATACAAACTAATTTGGAAGCGATTGACACGCGATTACGTAGTTTGGAAGTTTCAGTGTCTAGTATGGAAGACAATGTGGCGAAAATGAATCTCGATGTTGCCAAACTGGAAGAAATAGACCGCAGAACGATTCAGCTGAAAGATGACATGAACACAAAGCTGCGAAAGATGATGAATGTAATAACTCAGCTTTACGAATTAAATAAAGATATGAAATCTAGCATGAGTAGTCCCAGAAGCGACACTCAAGGAGAATTAAGGAGTGAATCTGGATCCAGTTACGCCACAGAATTTCTCGTCGAGAACCTGGAAGAATTAGAGAGGAAAATTAAAGAACAATTTAGTATACTCACCAGCAATATACGCTCAGAAGTAACCAGCTTGAAAATAATGACATCTAGTATTAGCTGCAACAATCCATCGGATAAGGAAGACGAAGAATGGTTGACACCTCAAGACAATGCTCGATCGACTGCAGGAAGACAAAATGCAAGGGCTATTGATAAAGTAGAAAATTCTTTGGATAACTTAGTAGAGAGCCTGGGGAGGTCTACGAACGAAATACGAAAGGATATTCAGCAAGGAATGAAAGATATCGATAAAAAGTTAAACAATCTGACTGTTCTCGCTAAATCTGTTCCACAGTGTGATCCTCTGATCCCTTCAGATTCTGTGGCCAGTAGCAGAAGTATCGCTCCAAGTTATGCAAAACATCCTCAGCAGGTTGTAGATGATCAGAAGTCCACTAAAGGTGAATCTTGCACTAAAAACGTGCAAAACGTGCAGAATCCGAAATCATGTGCTGACTTAAGGAAAGGGGGTGCTACATGTGATGGTATTTATGTCATTTTCCCACAGAGCGTTAGAGCTGTGAGGGTTTATTGCGATATGACCACAGACGGTGGAGGATGGACGGTAAGTTAAGAATTTAGTATCTGATTTTTTTTGGCATATTAATGTTTAATTTAAATTAGTTATCTCACTAAAATGTGAATATCTCATATCATTTGTTTGTCTTTTCTAAATATGATAAATTTCTCTCAGAATTTTTAGGTAAATACATACTGGTCGTTTGATAAAATGATGTCAGAATTTTATTCGCTTTGTACTTTGGAAATACAGATAAAAGCATTCAAATATATATTGTTTCACAAGAATATAGTAAAGTTAAATTATATTTAAATAATTCTCTTGCGCCATTGCTGCAGAAATTTGAATTTAACAAATATTCTCTATTCGTATAAAGCTAATATAAATTTAAAATTTAATTAAGAAATTGTAATTGCAAAAATAAAGAAATAAAAAATTAATTATTGCTGCGAACTAACTTACAGTATCATTTAAATTCTAAGAGCATATGTAAATTATTTGGAGGCAACTTCCCCTTGATAAGTCTGTCTCCTGCCTGCTCAACAATTATTCACTTATGCAATTTAATTTGGTCTTAAAAATTCCTTAAAAATCTTTTTTTAAGTTATTTTTTTGGAATATTATATATTTTCCATGATTTTTAGATACGTGCACTTAATTTACATATATTCTTAGAATTTAAATGATAAATTAGTTCGCAGCAATAATTAATTTTTTATTTTTGCAATTAAAATTTCTTAATTAAATTTTAAATTTATATTAGCTTCATACGAATAGAGAATATTTGTTAAATTCAAATATATATATATATAATATCGGAATTAAACTTCCTACCTTCCTACCAATTTTCGGAATTAAACTTCCTACCTATGGGTTCACTCTTTTTAGATACTTCTACTAAAATTAATATTAAGAGATAATGTAATCAATATTTCTTTGGAAAATATATATATAAACAATATTATACGCTTTTACCAGGTAAAAATTAAATTTAAAATGATCCTCCCGGGAATGAAAACAACATATAAGGGCTTTAAAACGCTACGAATAATAGACACATCTAAATATGAGTTAATTATTTAAATTTTAAGATTTTGTTTTAATGCGTGCATAAAAGGTTTAGGTAACTACATACTGGTCGTTTGATAAAATAGATTGCTTTATAATTTACAGAAAATAAGCAAAAGAAATGTTCACAACTAAATTTCACACATTCTCTGGTTTCCATTCAAATAAATGAAGTTAAATGCTTTTTAAAGAAAACACTGCAGGTCTATCGTTGTTAGTAACACATTATTCTGTCGAAAAAGCTTAATTCCTGATGCACGGAAACCTACACTTTTGTCTCCAGAAATTCATTCGGCTATATTGTTTTCAAAGTTTAGTAGCATGTCTGTGTTTCTGAAGTATCATTGCACTTGGAAATTCATGAGTTAAAAGGGAGTTTTATCAATTAAAGTTCCGTTAAGGGGGGGGGGTGACATGCATTTCTCACTGACTATTCAAAATCGGCAAAGTATGTAATCATTTTTTTTCCTTTTATTTTTACATATATGTATTAAAAAACAAGAGATAAGAAATCTGAAGTTTCATGAGAATATCTTTTCCATTTAAAATCCTTTGGGGCCCACCAGCGGCCGAGCGGTAAAGTCGCTGAACACTGGTAGTTCGGTCCGAGGTTCGAATCCCGCGAACGGGCTGGCTGCATGGGTGTTTTCGTGGTTTTCCCCATGTGTAACGTGTATACGAGCCAGTTTCCCTTAGAAAGTCCTCCACGAAGGCATCCCTCCCCTTAGGCAGATAGCCCTCGAGGCTTTGCCGTAATTAAATAACCTAACCTAACCATTTAAAATCTTCAATTCTCACTCTATCTTTATAAAGAAAATAAGGCTTTTATTTGCATGAAAATTAAATTCTCGAAAAGTAATGAGTGATAATCCATAACGAAATTCGTTTATAAATTATGCGCAAATTATCACTGAAATGCGTAATTTTCTGCATAATCTTTGGAGTTAAAAACGGTCTAATTGATTATCAAGGATATAAATCTTTATAAAATAGTTTACTTAAACTAATTAAGTTAATGTTATATTACCTAAGTAACCTTTGATATCTTGGGTAGAACGGCTGGTGAAATCACCACGAAAATTCCGTCACAAGAAAATATCACGCTGTGAATATCAAAATTTCCTTGCTAAATATACTATTTCTGTGACTAATATAAGTTAATTAATTTATTAATAATATATTATAAAATTATTAAATATTTCAGAAAGCAGATAAATATATATAGTATACATTTTATTAAACAGTATGTACTTGAATTTCGTAAGCTTGTTTTTAAATAAACTATTGATATCTAGTGTTTAAAAGATAATGTAATGCAGAGTTAAGCTTTTATAAATTTCTCTTTTTACGATTTCTTGATGCTCACATTATATATTTAAAAAACTTGAACTCAAATAGCATTTTGATTAATTTCAGTAATACTACAAATATTCATAAAAATTATGTTGGAAAATATTTAAATAATATTAGTTAAATATGTTTAAAAATAATGATTTAAATTATTAAGAAACGCGTTTATCGCTTTCAAATCATTCAGTGTCTTTCAAATAGTGTTAGAAAGACAAATAGAAGATCTTATGGCTCATCGAACGGTAGCACTCTGGAAACTGGTGTTTTGCTATAGCCGCGTAGAAAATAAATTAAGAATCTTATCTTTCGTGTCGATGCCATGCTTGACAAATCACGTGGATGATAAATGCATGATAGAATAACTTAACATATCGACTCAGAAATTTTGAAAAAAATATAAAGATATTTCTAATGTCGAAAACATTTGAATTTCAAATAATGCAAATGATGTTTTCAAATCCTATTCTTATGCATAGGACCGGCTTTAATACATTTGGTGCTTTGGCCGAGAATATTTTTGGCGACCTTCTAAAAATCCCTAAACAGCTTTTTGAAAATATTAATACATAACGCATAATTAAACTGCAGCCCATATCCGTGGGTCGATTAAAGTTTTGGTATTTGAAATTATTTTGCAAATAAAGTGCATTCATTTACTAGATAAGAAGAATTTTTAATTCCTTTTAACTTACTTCACCTCCCCCCCAAAAAATAAAAGTTTTAAACCAATTTAAATTAAGAATTTTTAAGGTATTATCATTTTTCGTGTCTCCATCATCAAAATAACCTAATCTCTCAACAAATTAAAAGCTAATTTTTCGGGATTTTTGTCTGCAATTTATCTTACGCAGGAAGTAAAATCAGTATTATTTACAACATCCTTTTCCTATTGATAAAATCATCAGTTCATTCAGTCTTGTGATTTATCAGTCTTTGTAAACTTTAATTATTTAAGTTTACAAGAACAATGCACTCCATTCGCTACTGTTGTCGGTATATATAGTAGTATGTGCCATGCGAAACATACGTTCAGATGGACCGTTTCATAACGATGTTGCACTTTTATGTAAGACGGCCGTTGTTCGAAAAGACAGATGCCTTCATAACGGAATAACGGAGCGTGAGCAGCTGAAAATCAGTTTATCGCTTGGAACTCATTGTCAGCACCCTTATGCCTTATCCTTGGCGTATTTTATCAGAATATGCGTACGTTTATCCAAATCCAATCTTTGATAGACAGTACCGCGCACTGGAGATAAAAATGTTTTCTTCCCTACAAGTGTTGCCATTGCTCGCTTTGAAATTGTTGAATTTTTTAATGAAAAATTCAGTAAAGCTTTACAAAACATGAAATAGATAATAAGAAAACTTCCAAAAGTCCAAATTTCGGCTTCCAGATGCCCATATTCAGGTGGCGACAAATTTGATGGCTCTAGGAACCGTCGTTTTACCACAATACATGAAACATACATACATTTATGCAGATTCTTCATTATTTAATTTCTTTAAATATAACACAGAGCGATTATATTTAGTGGCAACAATTTGAAAAGTGATTCAGACTTTTAAAATTTTCGACACAAAATGCCAAAACTGCTCTTTGGGCTGAAAAAAGTGAACTAATTGTTTGCTTAATTTTGCCCGTAGCAAATGCAGGATATTCTTTTAGTAATATAGACTATTTAATATTTTCTTCATTCAATATTTTATGCAGAGTGATAAACAGATTTGCAAAAGGAAGTATCGAAAAAGACATCAAAAGTTACGATTTACAATATTACTTATACATCAATTAATAAAACTTTGTTAAAGTGAAGTTTGTTAAAGTTACTTTTCATTTTATTTTCTTTATTTTTGCTATTATGATCTCCCTGACCCATTGCCATAAAAAGCATTATGCTTTTCCACCATCAAAAAATTGTTTGGGAACCTAAAATGTTACTTCGCATTTGCGTTCCTTGCTAGAAAAAGTTGGCAATGTTTTCTGGAAAAGCAGATTTCAAACAATGAATAAACTAGAATAGTAGTTCCCAAAGCATGGGTTACGTCGTAAAATAACTTTTGTTGATGAGTGAAAATATATTTTAATATTTTTATTATTATTTTACAGTGAAATATATTTATTCAAATTATGAATCTTTAAGGTATTTCTCCCCGCCTTCTTAGCGAGCCTCCGTGGTGTAGTGGCCAGCACACTGAGCCGGTATTTCAGAGATCCGTGGTTTGATTCCCGGCGAAGGCGATTGCTAATTTTTAATTTCCTTTGCTTCCGAAATAAACCTAATGACTCTACAGTGGCGCCCGAAGTAAAAGGGTGTTGGATGATGATTCTCCTCACCCAGGATTTGGCGAATGGGTTCCCTAGAAACCTCAGTCGCCCTTTAAAATGGGGAGTATATAAAGTAGTTCTCCTACCTTCTTGGCGTGCCTTCGTGGTGTAGTGGTCAGTATACTGAGCCTGTATTTCCGTGGTTCGATTCCCGGCGAAGGCGATTGCTAATTAATTTTTCATCTTTCCTGCTGCGAAAAATCCTAATGTCTCAAATCAATTTATTATTATTAATTGACTTAATTGCTTGTTGATCGTTATTCATATTTAGTTATCACTAATCCGTGATAGCATAATT